AATGGGATTGATCTTAGCAGCTCTTTCTCAGTCATGGCATTGCTTGTGTATACAAAGGCTGTTGATTTTTGTGCATTGATTTTATATCCTGCCACTTTGCCAAACTCCTCTATGAGTTCCAATAGTCTCTTAGTAGAGTTCTTTGGATCCTCTAAGTACAGAATCATATCGTCTGCAAAGAGGGATAGTTTGACTTCTTCCTTCTTGATTTGTATCCTTTGATTTCTTTTCTTGTCTGATGGCTCTGGCTAAAACTTCCAGAACTATGTTAAATAGCAGTGGTGAGAGTGGGCATCCCTGCCTGGTGCCAGATTTCAGTGAAATGCTTCCAACTTTTCCCCATTCAATAGGATGCTGGCTGTGGGTTTTTCATAAATTGCTTTGATATTATTGAGGAATGTTCCTTCTATACCCAATTTGCTTAGAGTTTTCATCATGAAAGGGTGTTGAATTTTATCAAATGCTTTCTCTGCATCAATTGAGATAATCATATGGTTTTCTTCTGCAGTCTGTTAATGTGGTGAATCACATTGATTGATTTGCGAATGTTGAACCATCCCTGCATACCAGGGATGAATCCCACTTGGTCTGGGTGGATGATTTTCCTGATGTGTTGTTGTATTCTATTGGCCAGAATTTTATTGAGGATTTTTGTGTCTATGTTCATCAGGGATATTGGTCTGTAATTTTCTTTCAGTGCTGCATCTTTCTCTGGCTTAGGGATTAAGGTGATGCTGGCTTCATAGAAAGAATTTGGGAGGATTCCCTCTTTTTCGATTGTTCTGAATAGTTTGAGAAGAAATGGGATTAGTTCTTCTTTAAATGTCTGGTAGAATTCAGCAGTGAATCCATCTGGTCCTGGGATTTTCTTGTTGGGAGGGCCTTTATTACTGTTTCAATTTCTGTTTCAGTTATGGGTCTATTTAGGTTTTTGATATCTTCATGGTTCAATTTTGGTAGATTGCATGTGTCCAGGAATCTATCCATTTCTGATAGGTTTTCCTGTTTGCTGGCATACAGGTCCTTGTAGTAATTTCTGATGATTCTTTTTATTTCTGTGGTGTCTGTTGTTACATTTCCTTTTTCATCTCTGATTTTATTGATTTGGGTCTTTTCTCTTCTTTTTTTTAGTTAGTTGGGCCAATGGGGTGTCAATTTTGTTTATTTTTTTTCAAAAAACCAGCTTCTCCCTTGGCTGATTTTTTGTAGTGTTTTTTTGGATTCAATCCTGTTAATTTCTTCTCTGGTTTTAATGATTTCTCTTCTCCTACTAGATTTGGGTCTGGGTTGCTGCAGTTTTTCTAGGTCCTTGAGGTGCGCTGAAAGCTCATTTATTTGGTACCTTTCCAATTTCTTGGTATAGGCACCTATTGCTATAAATTTGCCTCTCAATACTGCTTTTGCTGTATCCCATAAGTTTTGATATGTTGTGTTGTTGTCTTCATTTACTTCCAGAAAGTTTTTGATTTCTCTTTTGATTTCTTGAATGACCCAGTGTTCATTCAGGAGCATGTTGTTCAGTCTCCATGTGTTTGCATACTTTCTGGGGTTTCCTGAGTTGCTAATTTCCAGCTTCATCCCGCTGTGGTCTGAGAAGCTGCATGGTATGATTCTAATTCTTTTAAATTTGCTGAGACTTGCTTTATGGCCTAGTATGTGGTCAATCCTAGAGAAGGTTCCATGCGCTGCTGAGAAGAATGTGAAGTCTGTAGATGTAGGGTTGAAAGTTCTGTAGATATCTGTTAGATCCATTTGGGCAATAGTGTCAATTAAATCTGCTGTTTCCTTGTTGATCTTCTGTCCGGATGATCTGTCTATTTCTGAGAGTGGAGTATTGAAGTCCCCCAGTACTATTGTATTGGAATCTAAATCTCCCTTTAAGTCCCTTAACATATCTTTTAAATAGACCGGTGCCCTGTAATTAGGTGCATATACATTTATAATAGTTACATCTTCCTGTTGAATTGAACCCTTAATCATTATATAGTGTCCCTCTTTGTCTCTCTTAACAGTTTTTGTATTAAAGTTTATTTGTCTGATATTAATATGGCTACACCTGCTTTTTTTTGGTTTCTGTTGGCATGGAATATCTTTTCCAACCTTTCACTTTCAGTCTGCATGCCTCTTTGTTAGAGAGATGTGTTTCTTGTAGGCAACAAATAGTTGGGTTGTGTTCTGTGAGCCAGTCAGCTAAACGGTTGTCTTTTAACTGAAGAATTCAGACCATTAATGTTCAATGTGACTATTGATACGTAGTGACTTTGCCCTGCCATTTTCCCGGAAATATTTTCTAGTATATTCTTTGAGCTTCCCATGCTCTTTTACTGGTAGGTGTTCTTCCTTTCCCTTCTTTCATATTGATGACCGTGTTTCTGTGTTTCTGAGTGTAGCACATCTTTAAGTATCTTTTGCAGGGCCGGACGAGTGGCCACAAAGTCTTTCAATTTCTGTTTGCTATGAAAGGTCTTTATTTCACCTTCATTCACAAATGAGAGCTTGGCAGGATATAATATTCTGGGCTGGCAATTTTTCTCTCTTAGCACCTGTGCTATGTCTCGCCATTCCCTCCTAGCTTGTAGGGTTTCTGATGAGAAGTCAGCTGTGAGTCTGATTGGAGATCCTCTGAGAGTAATCTGACGTTTCTCTCTTGCACATTTTAGGATCTTTTCTTTATGTTTCACTGTGGTAAGTTTAATTACCACGTGTCGTGGTGAGGATCTCTTTTGGTCATGTTTATTGGGGGTTCTATGAGCTTCCTGTACTAGGATATCTCTGTCCTTCTCCAAACCTGGAAAGTTCTCTGCTAGTATCTCACTAAAAAGGCCTTCCAATCCTTTCTCTCTCTCCATGCCTTCAGGAACTCCTAGAACTCGAATGTTGGTTTTTTTAATAGTATCCTGTAGATTCCCAACAATATTTTTTAGGTTTCTAATTTCCTCTTCTTTTCTTTGGTTTGACTGTATGTTTTCCTGTGCTCTATCTTCTAAGTCCGATATTCTCTCTTCTGCTTCACCCATTCTGTTTTTAAGGCTTTCTAATGTGTTTGTCATTTGATCTATTGAGCTCTTCATTTCATTTTGATTTCTCTTCACTATAACACTTTCCTGTTCTACTAGTTTCTGAGTTTCATTTTGACTCTTCCTTAAAATTTCGTTTTCACGAGAGAGATTTTCAATCTTGTCCATTAAGGATTTCTGTAGTTCAAGGATTTGCTTTTGAAAACTTCTAAATGTTCTTATCATAAATTTTTTGAAATCCGTATCTTGCATTTCTTCTATCTCATCATCTTCATACTCTTGGCTTGGGGTGTTTTGCTTATTTGCTTACTTTACAGAAAAGTCTCTGAAACTGTGAAGTGTCTGGAGGAATTGTTTTTTTGGAATCACACCTCAGCAAGTGTGATGAATTGCCATGAAGACTGGTTAACCATTCTTGAGAGATTCTTTCTCTTATACTACCTTCATTTTTTAGTTTCCCATTATTATGAATGGAACCAGACAAATGAACTGTGTTTTCATGTATAAAGTTTGCTGACAAATATTCAACACTTGCAGCAGTTGATACAACAGTTATTTCAACAGTTTTTTGAAATGCCGTCTTAATCAATTATAAATTTATTTGTTGTACATTAGTTTTGATGTCTGTGCATGATTTTTGCCCAACATTATTGTAGTGCAAACGAGTGATGTTGATATAGGGTAAGTTAGATAGTTTAAGTTCACGATCTGGAAGCCACACTTTACCCACCCTATGCTCCTATATCCATCTACCTGACAGTCAGATAACCCCTTCTCCAGGAAATATTTCTCCTTACCCAGAACATGGAGGTGGTACCCTGTGCTTTCTAATCACCTATAAGTTTGGGTAAAGAGGAGGTGGGATCTTCTCCTGGAGCAACAGCCAGCAGGGCATGAAAATCACTTTCATCTTCTCTGGCCCACTCTCCAAAGAAAGTCCTCATGTGCCTCTGTATTTTCTTCACTCAGAACTCAATTTCCACAATATTGCTAAGCTCTCACCTAAATATGTGTTTTTATCATGGAAACTATGAATATTATGTTTGAAAAAATTTACATATGTGCTTATGTTGAAGACTTTGAAATGAGTTAGCGTGGGTTTACCATGTAACCCTGGCTATAATCACAAGTGCCAATAAAGTCACTCATGTCACTCAGCTCCATCACTTTCTAATTCATGACCCTGGACTGCCTCTCTGAGCCTGTTGGATCTCCCCTCCTGCTCAGTGAGGCCTCAAATTAACTAGTTACACACTGCTGAGAGATGGAATCATCACAAAAATGTGGAGATAGCATGGACCATAACTGGAAACAATCCTTGGTCCAATGTAGGCTTTGTTCCTAGTCTGCCCCATGAGATCTAGCCACTACCTCCACACCCACTGTCTGCATCACTCATGGAGAAGCAGGGTTCTTCATGGGGACACAAAACATGATACCTTATCATATTCCTAGGACACACCATTGACAGTTCATATTCTACAACTGGTGGATCACATCCCTTTCAAAATTCTGACCTATATACTCCTTTACTTTTTTTCCCACTAGGTTATATGAATCTACCTCCAGTACCTACACCCCCTCAGACTATTATCAGTGGAGGAGACCACCACAACACATCCTCTTATTCAGTATATATGGGAGAACTCATGTCAATGCGAGGTAAAAGTTGCTGCCTTTCTCAAACACTGATCTTGCTAGAGGCTTTGTTTTGGCTGTACCCTGGTAAGGTTAATTGCAATCAGAGGTTTCTCTTTTTTTCTGCAAGACTCCTATATGTTAGCATTAATAGGGTATGATTCCTGTTATAGGGTTGGAGCTCCCATTACCCACCACTATCGTCTCAGACAGGATGTGGCCAAAGACTGCTCAGCGGCTTTTTAGAGATTTTTTTTGTTTTGTTTTACTGTTCAATAATACATGTCAGCAATTCCCACAAGAGATTGCTTTTGCAGACAGCTAAGCTATGTGCTAGAGATGGTTATCTACATATGCTTAGGTGTCTCAAGGAATAACCCTATTACTGCAATTTCCTGATTTTATGATGTAAAAACAAAGTAGAGCTGGGAATCAGGGTTCACTTGGGACAGGATTCCAGTCAAGTTTGCACGTGTAATAAGTTCTGTGTCTTTTTTCCCGAATATCTCATGTGTGACTTCATTTTATTTGGTCTCTTTTCTGTAACATTTGGTTTCCTGACCAGGAAGTTGAATGAGCTGGCCCATTGTGCCATTTGTACAGGGGACAAATAGATCAGAGGTGACCACTGCAGGACAGATGACTAGACACCATTTCCAATACTTTTGGAGAGATTCCTCCCTATGCAAAAGCTTGCTGTCACCCTGACCACTGCTGCTCATTCAGACTCACAGAGACTTGGGGCATTTGGACCTGGAAACACCAAATGAGGTAAGAATCACCTGTCACCAGAGTCTAAGACATGCCTGACCCTATGGGTGGATGGCAGACTCTCCAAGAAATATTTATTTTAGGTTTCAAGATGGGACTCACCTTTAGAGGGAGGGAATGTTTTACACTCTGAAAGGTGTTTGAATGTATGGCTGCTTTTGCATGCATTGGCAGTTTGAATCTGTTGTCCCCAGTAGAAGCTATGAGTTATGAGTGGGCCTGAAACTGAAGTTCTCTGGTGATCCTCATATGGTCAAGGGTAGTTGGAGTCACATTCTGACATTGCTACAGTGAATTATCACCTAAATTCCAATAAGGAATGTGCTCAAATAGGCATCTGGCTGACCTTTATTGGAGGCACAACTCCCTTGTTTATCCTGTGTCTACAATCATAGTGTGGTTGCATAATGGATGGATCCCTTTCTGTGTTAGACATGTTAAAACATTTTAAAACAGGTTTAGTGAGGATTATGGAATCAAACCAATCTGTGCTACACTTAGAACCTTGTGTTGGTTTGAGTGGCCCACTTTCAGTATTGGCTGGCCCTCAGAGGGAATGAAACATGTTGCCATAGATCAAATAGTCTGAAGAGTCCTTACAGAACATCTCAGATACCCATATCAATTTCCCTAGATCAAATCATGGCTGTCCATGGCTTCTTTTGGTCTGGGATCCAAAACATTCTCACTCTGACTCTAGGAAAACCCTCACCAAAGATTTTCCAGGGCAAAACAATGGAGGACAAAGTCCTGCCACACTCTTACCAATTTCAGTATCCATGCTCCACTAGCAGGGCTTGTGGACACCTAGCCACCCCCGGATCTGTCCGAAGCAATTCTACCTCCTATGGCTCCATGTCTCCCAACTTCCAGTAAATCAATGTCTCTGGGCATCACAGAACAACCTTCTACTAGCCCTACAGATACCATTGAGAAAGACAAGGGCACCCCCTGTCATTGAAGCAGATGGCAATGTTCAGCCAGCAGCTGTCATGATCTACAATCAGGCATTCAACACTACCAACCTTTTAAATTGAAAACATCATATACCCTCTTCCTTGGAGTAACTGCAGGCACTTTAATTTTATTTGAGACCATTTTCCAAACCCATCATCTAACATAGAGGGACTGTCGCCAACACCCCCGACCCTGTTCAATACTGAAGAGAGATGGAGAATTCTCAAGGCCCACAAATGGACTCAAAAACAGTACCCAGCTTGGACATTCCATCCTGACACATAGGTCCCCCAGGTTGTTCCTAGCCAGGCTCCATACTGGAAAGTTTACCAGCCAGAAGAAATAATCCTCCTAGACCACTACTGAGAGATACTCTTGAGGGGTCTCTGGGTGGCATCCAGAAAGCTCACCACACAGCCAAAATTATAACTGTCATCCAGAAGAGTAATGAGGCACCAGGAGATTTTTATGAGTGGCTAGTTGAGGCATTCAGATTTGTTCCCCTTTCAACCCTGAAGCCCCAGAAAATGAACAGAAGGTCAGCAGCACTTTTGTGCTCAAAGTGCCCCTGACATTCATCAAAAGCTCCAGAAACTCAAGGGCTTTGCAGGCATGAATGCTACTCAGTTTCTGGAAGTGGCAAGCAAGGTCTATGTTAACTGAGACCAGAATTATGATCCAAGGCAGGTGGCACTTAGCCTGCTACACCCCTCTCCAAGTACCAGAACTCTGTTGCCCTGCACCTATAGTAGCAGGGAGGATCAGAGCAGGGGCCCATTGTGTATCTTTAGTGCTGAGGCTTGTCATGTCTGGTACTCTCATGTTCTGGCCATTGCAGTGTTTGACACAGTACGAGGCACTTGGCAATTTACATGAGATTTGAGTGGGGATTCATTATACTAACTTTAACACAAAATGAGAAGGCTTAAAAGTTGTTACAAAATTGTGCTGGTGGAAAATGACTGGTAGGAGGAGGAGGCTCATGGGGACTTGGTACCTTGTTCAATAGATGACAACCGTGGCTCATCTGGGTCTATAGCACACTTGGTACAGACATGTCTTCTTCAATCATGGCTTGGAAAAATCAGAGTATCCAGCAATAGCAGTTTTAGATTATTTGTGAGTAGTGAGGGTTTGAGGATGCCGACCCTGGATACTCTTGACAGGGGGAACTTAACTGTAACAGGGCTGGCAGAGCTCCATCATGTCACTGTTGTCTACCACCTCTCCCTCCATGTTCTGTAGCAGTTAGAAGCCACCAGTGTGTCCAGGGTCTGACTGAACTGGTGTTCATTCTCTAGGCAGAAGGCACCATCAGCAGAGCGGGAGGATTCTGGATCCAGATATGTGGGAATAGCACTTTTTATGCCCTGCTGATGTGGGACAGCCATCCCCATGTGTGTAGCCCTGATCTCCTATCTTCTGCTGAGACTGATGACAGTTGATCCCTTAGTGCTGCCTATTGTGTGCTGAGACTGCGGTGACTGTTCCTCGCCACCGCTGGAGAATTAGGCAGGCTCCCCACAGCTTACCTTGACCGAGGAGGGGAAGTACGCCACCCACCACTCAGCCTTCCCCAAACCCAAACCCGGGGGACAATCAGGCATGGTGTGGAGCCCAGTCGAAGCAGGGTCTCACTTTATTGTAAAAGGGAGGTGTATATATAGCTGAGTTACAGAGCAAATGGTACAGAGCAGATGAGCAGATGCGGGCAAGTGGTGGGGTGTTGAGATGCACAAGGGTCTTAGCCACTCCTATTATACCACCTTAATGATCCTTAAGCAGAAGCGCCCTGGGGCTGGGGTGTTTGCTACCAGGGATTTGAAACTTAAAGACAGATTTTCAAATTTGAGGCAGGCTCAGGAAGTTCCTCTAGGCCTCTCCGGATTCAGCCTCCCCCACACTGAGACTGTGTAAATTTCTCCCATTCCTTAATATGACCCTGTGGGGGTGAGTGAGCATGTACACTTGGTGTGTCTGTGTTTGGATCATGGGTCTTTGGGCAGTCAGCACTGACCCCAGTATTGGGCAATGGGCCTGCAATGAATGCACCAGACAGATGAATCCTGTGAGTGTGGCAATTTAACTGGTGGCCACCCAATGCCAATTGGGTGAGAAGCTGCCTCTTTGTGGACCAGGGAGGTGAGACGTGGACTTTTTCTATTTAGCTCTCCCTCTGACACTTCTATTGGCTAAGTCACCCTTCCAGGTGTCTAGCTCCTGTCATCCACCTGTCTTTAAGGCTGTCTGTGCCTCTGACCAGATGGATAGGAGCTCTGTAAGGGGAAGTGTATAGTGATTCTCTGGAGCTGTGTGATGTTGAGAGATTTTTCTGCCAACTTCAAAGAGGACTGGCCTCTGACAGCTGGTGGCTGTGGAGTTTCAAATGATGAGCTGAGGCACAGCCATCTTCATTTGGAGAGAGTTGCTGGATAGCTCCAACCAGTGCTTTTTATTATTTAATCTAGTGTTCAACTAGTAACATAACAATTAGGAACGCACAGCCAGACTAATCACTGTAGAAAAATAACAAGCAGGCACAAACAAGAGAGATAAGTATCGTCTGACATATGTAGAGCTTTTTGGGGGTGAGAGAATGCAAGATTCTCTCCATCTCTCTCTATCTCTGTCTCTCTCTATTCCCACAACCATGCCTCTAAAATAATTAAGGGCCAGAGCTTGGTACAGTGGGTTAAGTCACTATCTACATTGCTGGAATCCCATATGGATGCCCATTCAATCCTGTACAGCTCCCTGATTATGCACCTAGGAAAGTGGCAGAGAATGGCCTGTGTCCTTGAGCCCCTGCAACTATATGGGAGACCTAGAGGAAGTTTCTATTCCTGGCTCTTGGTTCAGCCTGGCTCAGCCTCACCTATTGCAATCTTTTGGGGAGTGAACAATTACATAATCATATCTCTCTCTCTCTCTCTCTCTCTCTCTCTCTGACTTTCAAATAAATAAGTAAATACTTTTAAAAGGCCACAAATGTTTTACATTTGTTTGATGTTGCTTTTCCTTTCTTTTTGTTATGGTTGTATTTTATTTGTAAAGCAGAGCTGAGAGAGAGAGAGAGAAGAGCAGAGCAAAGAAGCAAAGCTTGGAGAAGAGAGGGGAGGGGAGGGAAGGAAGGGAAGAAGAGAAGAGGTTAGGATTAGAAGTGAGGGAGTAGGCACCCAAACCAGTTCTCATATAGGATACCAGCATCACAGATAGCAGCTTAACCCATTGTGCCACAATGCCAGTGCTTTGATGTTGTGTTTTCTTAACTGGAATCCATGAGTATCATTTTCTTTATGGACCTCCATAAAAATGTTTCTATGTTTTGTTTTATTGAATATAAAATGTATTCTATTAATATAGAAATAATTATTTTAAAGTCTTGACTTATCTCACATGTGTTGATTTTGTGATATTCTCCATTATAATCGTAATCATTACAATCAACTTCATAGAGACAAATTTGACCATTACAAACAATATTTTGTGGCCATTTACATTTCAAGCATCCTGTCTTACTGACAATTTGTCTTATGGTTAACTGTTTTTATAGAATAAAAATTTATTATCCTATCAAGTTTAGAGTTTTTGCCTTATAAACTACTTTTCCTAAATGACTTCATATTTTTTAAAAGTATTCATGCTGCCTACTGTTTTTGTCATTTATTTTTCCTGAAAACTATGGATAAGAGTGACAATTGAAAACCAGAAAGATTGTGAATGGGAGAGAGGAGGCTTGTATTTGGGGATTTAAACCATGGAAATGGCCTCATGAATAATGGACAACCTTACTGTGTTAATCAAGTTAAACTATGTTCCATAATCTGTATATATGAAAAACATGAAACTTGCATACCTTAAATACAGTTGAAAATCCCAAGTTTCCAGAAGAATTAGTTATTTAGCCTAGATTATTACTTCAGCACCAGTGGTCATTAAATGGAAAGTCATTGAATAAAATTTACACCTAAATTAACATAATAAGGTCTTGTACCTAAATACCATTATTTCTAGAGTGGCTTTCAGGGCACAGAAGTTTTAATCATTATGATAACCAATTTTCTAATAATGTGCTATAAGTGTTTGGCTCTGGATAAAGATAAATATTTTTCTGTTGTAGAATTTCATAGCTGGAAGATACACTGAATGACCAGATGTAACATCAAAATAATCTGGGGTTGGGCCAGCGCCACGGCTCACTTGGCTAATCCCCCACCTGCGTTGCCAGTACCCTGGTTCTATTCCCAGTTGGGGTGCCAGATTCTGTCCCGGTTGTTCCACTTCCAGTCCAGGTCTTTGCTGTGGCCCAGGAAGGTAGTAAAGGATGGCCCAAGTGCTTGGGCCCTGCATCCACATGGAAGACCAGGAGGAAGCACCTGGCTACTGGCTTTGGATTGGCACAGCGTGCTGGCCGTAGTGGCCATTTGGGGGGTGAACCAATGGAAAAGGAAGACCTTTCTCTCTGTCTCTCTTTCTCTCTCTCTCCCAACTCTGCCTGTCCAAAAAAAAAAAAAAAAAATCTGGGGTTGGTGCTAAGCCACTGCTCGCAATGCAGGTATCCCATATCTGAGTGTCAGTTTGAGTTCTAGATCATCTGTTTCCAATACAACTCCCTAGTAATGTTCCCAGAAAGGTAGAAGATGGCCCATATGTTTGAGCTCCTGCCACCCATGTGGGAGACCTGGATGGAGTTCCATAATCCTGGCTTTGACCTCGAGAAATGCTAGCCATTGTGGCCATTTGGGTAGTCAATCAGCAGATGTAAGAGAGATTTCTCTCTTGTTCTGTCTTTCCATTTAAAATTCATCATACTTCATAAGTGTGTTAGTATATTTGTGTCCTTTAAACCACATTAAAGACATGGCTATTATTTTACAGAAAAAAGAATAAAATTTGTAAATGCCTTTTTCGAGTAGAATTTCTTTTTCCACTCCATTTTCTTTCTTTCTTTCTTTTTTTTTTTTTTTTTTTTTTGACAGGCAGAGTGGACAGTGAGAGAGAGAGACAGAGAGAAAGGTCTTCCTTTTGCCGTTGGTTCACCCTCCAATGGCCGCCACGGCCAGCACGCTGTGGCCGGCGCACCGCGCTGATCCAATGGCAGGAGCCAGGAGCCAGGTGCTTTTCCTGGTCTCCCATAGGGTGCAGGGCCCAAGCACCTGAGCCATCCTCCACTGCACTCCCTGGCCACAGCAGAGGGCTGGCCTGGAAGAGCGGCAACCGGGACAGAATCCGGCGCCTGACCGGGACTAGAACCCGGTGTGCCGGCGCTGCTAGGCGGAGGATTAGCCTAGTGAGCCACGGCGCCAGCCATCGAGTGGAATTTTAAAAAAGATTCTCATTTAGCACATCTGTGTGAGAGATGCTTTATGTTTTCAAATTTTTCTTTCTGTAGTTTCAGATAATATGAAAACCCTCGTTCCCATGCATTTTCCTCATCAGTGGCTAGTATAAGTTTTTAATGTTATGGGGTGATTTTATTAAACACATTACACTGTACAAGCATATTTTGCATTTACAGTGTATTTTATTTCTAGATTTTCAGCATGTATTCTGTTCCATTGCTTCAGCTTGCTTCTGTGTTGTCACCATTGCTGAATAATCTTGTCTAACTCTGTACATGCTTAGTTTCCTCTCAAATCTGTTTGATTTATGTTCATTCTTATATTACCTTCCTTTATGTACCACTCTTGTATTACCTATTTAATTTAATTTAATTTTTTCTTCTCTAATTCATTTTTACTGAATTCTAATTCTTTTTCTTTTGGGTATTTACATAGTAATCTAATTATTCATACTTGAATTGTTCTGATTATGACAAATTTGTTCTTTTTCAATCTTTTATTTATGTCAGATCATTTTAATGCTATATATATTTTTGTTGTTGTTTAGTAATAATGTCTTTCATGTGTCTTCACTTTGCTTTTTTATTCTCTGTTGCTCTGTGTGTGAATTGCAACTGTGCCTATTCCATGTTCATGTTAGAGCACAATGGCTCTATGCTGTTTTATGGGGAGGCTTCTGTGTAGGTTGTTAGGAGACAGGCAGGGAAGAATCTTCTGGCATCATATTTTAAAGTTTCGTATGAGCTTATGAATTGTACTAAAACATGGCTCTTCTCTATTTTCTGGAAGCTTTCCTTTCTGCTATTTTTTCATCATAGGTTAGAACTCTCTCTTTACCTTGATTTTAGTTTTGCCAACATTCACATTGGATTCTCCTCCCAGTGGAGCTTCCTCATTGTAGATCTCTGCTCGGAAACAAGTGCATGTGCTTATGACTTTTGTGAGTTACTTCTTCCTAGGCCCCACCAGCATCAATGAACCTTACAGAAAACCTGCTCCTCTTTAACACATCTTAGCTGATTTCAGCTTTTCTCTTAAAGGCATCCCACCAAATTTCTCCTCAGGATGAAGACTTCACTTTTCTTGGGAATTTTGGATCTTGGATACTTCTTACTTTAAAAAAAAAAGAATTGTGGTTATGTGTATTGGCCATATACATATTTAGTCCCTTGAGGGATCTATTTACTGACATAGAAAAACCACTTTGAAATAATGATCTTGATACCACCCTCCACATATTCTAATATGGCCCCAGCCTCCTCAGGTTTTCCTTCATGGGAAATAAACTAAAAATTCAGGCAGGGGCTCATGGTTTATTAATAAAATAATGCCTTCAAAGACTCAGTGGGCCTTGTGGCACTTTGGCTCCAAAGAGTACCTTGTTACAAGTCATTTTCATGACAGACACAAGCCATCTTTTTATTGCTTCTCTCCTGGTCATGATACTTCATCTCAAATTAATGGAAATGCCCTTAGCACAGTGGAAAAATGATAGTAAGAAATATTTCCTTCAATGTGGTCTTTAAACTAGAGCACACTATTTTCTTTAAAATTCTTACTCAGTTTTTATATCAAAGTCTCATGAAATTGATTGCTTCATGCTTGGGGTTTGAAAGCAAATTTTCCCATCCTAGAAATCATCACATTGCTGAACACTATTTTTTTTACTATTATTTAATGGAATCATCTGCTTTCACACTATTTCTATCTACTAAATAAAAATTTTACCAAATATTTGACCCTGCATAGAAAAATCTTTTTGTTTTAATCCTCTGAAATTAGTTTCCTTATTAATCATCACGTTTCAAGACTTGTTTTGTCTTTGCTAACCTTTCTTTTCAAGGTACTCATTCATGATATTCTTTGCTGGACAGGGGAAAGTAGGTCCTGTGTGGGTAATAAGTCACATCTGGGATATCAGAGACATGGTAATATCAAAGTATGCACGTTCTACAAACCACTAGAAGAGTAGCTGACTTGACGTGCAACAGATTAACACACCATTTGGGATGTCACATACAACTGCAGAGTGCTGAGGATAAGTCCCACCTCTGCTTCTCCTCCATTTTCATACTAATTCTAGTGGGAGGCAGATGATGACCATACTCGGCCTCCCCTCGTGGTCGCGTTTCCCTTTTTTCTCTCTGGTCTTTTCCTTCTCTGCCTCTTCTCATCTTTCTCGCTGGGGCGCTCTGTGGTGTGACACGGACGAATCCTCTTCCTCACCAGGCCCGCGCCTTTCTTCTTCTGCCCACGGTGCTCCATTTCTCTCTGGCCGCCGCCGATACTGCTGCACAGCTGTTGTTGGTGCCTCGCTTTTTCCCCCGACGTCGTTCCTGCAGCTTATGGCCCAGGCCGCCTTGGGTCTTTCTGCTCAAGGTTACCACATCCCTCTTTAAAAATTCTGCCGAGAAAGAGAAGATGCTTTACCCGACTCTTTGTTGCTCTTTCAAATAAACAAATATAAAAATATTTTAAGGGTTCATAAAATTAAATTAAATATATGATTTTATTTTGGTGCAGTAACAATTTGGAATTCATAAAATGCATTTTTAGCTTACACTTTCCATATATTAAAAAATGTCTTTTTTGCCAAAAAACTATACCAAAGTAAACTCATACTTTTAAGTCTCCTTCCATGTACTTTCCAAATCTCCCCATGTTTCACCCACTGCAATGTAGGGCAGCCACAACTGATGTTCCCATCCAGGCAGTAGACTTACATTCTGAGTATTTATGGAGCCTGAAAATAAATTTTGATGCAATTTTAATTTAGAACTAGAGTGAAAAGTTTAGAATACAGTGAGAGTGGACATGAGTTTTAAGTACTCTTTTTCTTTCTTTTTTTTTGTGTGTGTACATTTTTTTTAACTTTTATTTAATGAATATAAATTTCCAAAGTATGACTTATGGATTACAATGGCTTCCCCCCCAATAACGTCCCTCCCACCCACAACCCTCCCCTTTCCCACTCCCTCTCCCCTTCCATTCACATCAAGATTCATTTTCGATTCTCTTTATATACTGAAGATCAGTTTAGCATACATTAAGTAGATTTCAACAGTTTGCTCCCACACAGAAACATAAAGTGAAAAATAATAGATGATTTTTTAAATGATGATGAAATCAGATCAGACCTATTGTCATGTTTAATCCCAGTGAGAGTCAAGTTGGGAATTGATAATTTCTTTTTTTTTTTTTTGCAGACAATTTCAGCATAAAATTTATTGGTGACAACTTGCTACACAGCAATGTGCAACAATTGTCAAAAAGTTCATGGCAAATGATTATGAAAATAGAAGTGCCGATTTCCATTTGCTTTTGCACTAAAATAAAGTTTTTAATTCCATTTACCATAGATTTTTTTTGTGTGTGTGTGTGTTTTTTAACTTTTATTTAATGAATATAAGTTTCCAAAGTACGAATGATGGATTACTATGGCTTCCCCCCCATACCGTCCCTCCCACCCATAACCCTCCCCTTTCCCACTCCCTCTCCCCTTCCATTCACATCAAGATTCATTTTCGATTATCTTAATATACAGAAGATCAGCTTAGTATACATTAAGTAAGGATTTCAACAGTTTGCTCCCACACAGAAACATAAAGTGAAAAATAATAGATGATTTTTTTTAATGATGATGAAATCAGATCAGACCTATTGTCATGTTAAATCCCAGTGAGAGTCAAGTTGGGAGTTGATAGTTTCTTTTTTTTTTTTTTTTTTTTTTTTTTTTTTTTTTTACAGAGGATCAGTTTAGTATGCATTAAGTAAAGATTTCAACAGTTTGCACCCCCATAGAAACACAAAGTGAAATATATTGTTTGAGTACTCATTATAGCATTAAATCTCAATGCACAGCACATTAAGGACAGAGATCCTACATGAGGAGTAAGTGCACAGTGACTCCTGTTGTTGACTTTACCAATTGACACTCCTGTCTATGGCATCAGTAATCTCCCTATGCTCCAGTCATGAGTTTCCAAGGCTATGGAAGCCCTCTGAGTTCTCCGATTCTTATCTTGTTAAGACAAGGTCATAGTCAAAGTGGAGGTTCTCTCCTCCCTTCAGAGAAAGGTACCTCCTTCTTTGAAGACCTGTTCTTTCCACTGAGATCTCACTCACAGAGATCTTTTGCCAGAGTGTCTTTGCTTTCCATGCCTGAAATACTCTCATGGGCTTTTCAGCCAGATCCGAATGCCTTTAGGGCTGATTCTGAGGCCAGAGTGCTATTTAGGACATCTGCCATTCTATGAGTCTGCTGAGTATCTCACTTCCCATGTTGGATCACTCTCCCCTTTATTTATTCTATCGGTTAGTGTTACCAGGTACTAGACTTGCTTATGTGCTCCCTTTGACTCTTAGTCCTTTCATTATGATCAATTGTGAACTGAAATTGATCACTTGGACTAGTGAGATGGCATTGGTACATGCCACCTTGATGGGATTAAATTGGAGTCCCCTGGTATGTTTCTAACTCTACCATTTGGAGCAAGTCAGCTTGAGCATGTCCCAAATTATATATCTCTTCCCTCTCTTATTCCTACTCTTATGTTTAACAGGGATCACATTTCAGTTAAATTTCAACACTTAAGAATAACTGTGTATTAATTACAGAATTAAACCAGTCATATTAAGTAGAACAGACAAAAAAACTACTAAGAGGGATAATGTATTAAGTTGTTCATTAACAGTCAGGGCTATGCTGATCAAGTCACCGTTTCCCATAGTTATCTTCAGGTTTCTGAGGGATCTCCAGACTGACTTCCATAGTGGCTTGACCAGTTTGCATTCCCACCAACAGTGGGTTAGTGTCCCTTTTTCCCCACATCCTCGCCAGCATCTGTTGTTGGTAGATTTCTGCATGTGAGCCATTCTAACCGGGGTGAGGTGAAACCTCATTGTGGTTTTGATTTGCATTTCCCTGATTGCTAATGACCTTGAACATTTTTTCATGTGCCTGTTGGCCATTTGGATTTCCTCTTTTGAAAAATGTCTATTGAGGTCCTTGGCCCATCTCTTAATTGGGTTGTTGGTTTTGTTTTTGTGGAGTTTCTTGATCTCTTTGTAGATTCTGGTTATTAACCCTTTATCTGTTGCATAGTTTGCAAATATTTTTTCCCATTCTGACGGTTGTCTCTTCACTCTCCTGACTGTTTCTTTTGCAGTACAGAAACTTCTCAATTTGATGCAATCCCAATAGTTGATTTTGGCTTTGACTGCCTGTGCCTCCCGGGTCTTTTCCAGAAACTCTTTGCCTGTGCCAATATCTTGAAGGGTTTCTCCAATGTTCTCTAGTAACTTGATGGTGTCAGGTCGTAGATTTAGGTCTTTAATCCATGTTGAGTGGATTTTTGTGTAAGGTGTAAGGTAGGGGTCTTGCTTCATGATTCTGCACGTGGAAATCCAATTTTCCCAGCACCATTTATTGAATAGACTGTCCTTGCTCCAGGAATTAGTTTTAGATCCTTGATCAAATATAAGTTGGCTGTAGATGTTTGGGTTGATTTCTGGTATTTCAATTCTGTTCCATTGGTCTATCCATCTGTTTCTGTACCAGTACCATGCTGTTTTGATTACAACTGCCCTGTAGTATGTCCTGAAATCTGGTATTGTGATGCCTCCGGCTTTGTTTTTGTTGTACACGATTGCTTTAGCTATTCGAGGTCTCTTGTGCCTCCATATAAATTTCAGCACCAATTTTTCCAGATCTGAGAAGAAGGTCTTCAGTATCTTGATTGGTATTGCATTGAATTTATAAATTGCTTTTGGGAGAATGGACATTTTGATGATACAATCCATGAGCATGGAAGATTTTTCCATTTCTTGGTATCCTCTTCTATTTCTTTCTTTAAGGTTTTGTAATTTTCATCGTAGAGATCTTTAACGTCCTTGGTTAAGTTTATTCCAAGGTATTTGATTGTTTTTGTAGCTATTGTGAATGGGATTGATCTTAGAAGTTCTTCCTCAGCCATGGCATTGTCTGTGTATACAAAGGCTGTTGATTTTTGTGCATTGATTTTATACCCTGCTACTTTGCCAAACTCTTCTATGAGTTCCAATAGTCTCTTAGTAGAGTTCTTTGGGTCCCCTAAATAAAGAATCATGTCATCTGCAAAGAGGGATAGTTTGAGTTCTTCCTTCCCAATTTGTATCCCTTTAATTTCTTTTTCTTGCCTAATAGCTCTGGCTAGAACCTCCAGAACTATATTGAATAGCAGTGGTGAGAGTGGGCATCCCTGTCTGGTACCAGATCTCAGTGGAAATGCTTCCAACTTTTCCCCATTCAATAGGATGTTGGCTGTGGGTTTTTCATAGATTGCTTTGATTGTATTGAGGAATGTTCCTTCCAAACCCAGTTTGCTTAGAGTTTTCATCATGAAAGGGTGTTGTATTTTATCAAATGCTTTCTCGGCATCTATTGAGATAATCATATGGTTTTTCTTCTGCAGTCTGTTAATGTGGTGTATCACATTGATTGTCTTGCGCACATTAAACCATCCCTGCATACCAGGGATAAATCCCACTTGGTCTGGGTGGATGATCTTTCTGATGTGTTGTTGCATTCTATTGGCGAGAATTTTATTGAGGATTTTTGCATCTATGTTCATCAGGGATATTGGTCTGTAATTCTCTTTCAGTGCTGCATCTTTTTCTGGCTTAGGAATTAAGGTGATGCTGGCTTCATAGAAAGAATTTGGGAGGATTCCCTCTTCTTCGATTGTTCTGAATAGTTTGAGAAGAAATGGGATTAGTTCTTCTTTAAATGTCTGGTAGAATTCAGCAGTGAATCCATCTGGTCCTGGGCTTTTCTTTGTTGGGAGGGCCTTTATTACTGTTTCAATTTCTGTCTCAGTTATGGGTCTGTTTAGGTTTTTGATGTCTTCCTGGTTCAATTTAGGTAGGTTGCATGTGTCCAGGAATCTATCCATTTCTGATAGGTTTCCCTGTTTGCTGGCATACAAGTCCTTCTAGTAATTTCTGATGATTCTTTTTATTTCTGTGGTGTCTGTTGTTACATTTCCTTTTTCATCTCTGATTTTATTGATTTGGGTCTTTTCTCTTCTTTTTTTAGTTAGTTGGGCCAATGGGGTGTCAATTTTGTTTATTTTTTCAAAAAACCAGCTCCTCGTTTGGCTGATTTTTTGGAATGTTTTTCTTGATTCAATCCTGTTGATTTCTTCTCTGATTTTAATTATTTCTCTTCTCCTACTAGATTTGGGTCTGGTTTGCTGTAGGTTTTCTAGATCCTTGAGGTGAATAGAAAGCTCATCTATTTGGTGCCTTTCCAATTTCTTGATGTAGGCACCTATTGATATAAACTTTCCTCTTAACACTGCTTTTGCTGCGTCCCATAAGTTTTGGTATGTTGTGCTGTTATCCTCATTTACTTCCAGAAAGTTTTTGATTTCTCTTTTGATTTCTTCTATGACCCATTGTTCATTCAGGAGCATGTTGTTCAATCTCCATGTTTTTGCATATGCTCTAGGCATTCCTGAGTTGTTCATTTCCAACTTCATTCCTTTGTGGTCTGAGAAGCTGCATGGTATGATTCTAATTCTTTTGAATTTGCTGAGACTTGCTTTATGGCCTAGTATGTGGTCAATCCTAGAGAAGGTTCCATGTACTGCTGAGAAGAATGTAAAATCTTTAGCTGTAGGATTGAAAGTTCTGTATATATCTGTTAGATCCATTTGGGCTATAGTGTCGTTTAAATCTGCTGTATCCTTGTTGATCTTCTGT